GCATTCCTATTAAAAGCTAGTAAGCTGCATTCAAAACTGATTAAAGATATCAAACAAACAGCTCTGAAAGTCGCATAACACTAGGGAAAAAAAGAGAACTTTGACAAAGATTTTTTCATTATTAATGACTGAGAAGCAAAAGAACGGGAACTGCAAGACCACTGAGTATAAATTCTAATAGGTCATATTCATATCAGATATAAATACAACCTCTTAACATCAGTTCTGTTCCAGTCTTCCAAATGTGCTGGATATTTCTCCAAATCCATGCCACGCCTTGTCTTCACCCTGCTCTGTGCCTCAGCCTATATCTCTTGGACTTCCTTGCCATCTAGCTTCTGTTGGGTCCAGCTCAATGGGACACTCCAAAAGGAAATTCGAAGGCAAGAAAGAAGAAAGGTTTGAATTTTAATCACCTTGGCTCCCTCTTGGTTTAAAGTAACTTAACAGTGGCCACATTCCTCTACTGAGGCCACGGCTTTCATTGCCTCTCCTCTTCCACAACTATTGTGTATTCCAGAGCCAGGAACAGCAGAACTGCTTGCTTCTTCAGGCCTCGGGTAGTAACGGCTCCCTGTTGCATGGAGTTCCTGGGTGATTCACTGTCCCTTGTTGCTTCCTTTAACCTTCCTATGCCTTTATAATATTGATCCTTTGTTAAACGCTCTTCAACTCCACATCTCATGAGCCACTCCTTTCCTGGAAGGCCTTGAAATAGCAAGATTGCAAACATGGGCCATACTTTTGACATCGGAGTGGCTCACACTTTAGCAGTCTTTTTTCTCCAGCTTTCAATTTCATTTTTGTGTGAAGCTTTTCCAAAACAACAACATAAAATTCCAATTAAGCACATGTTCAGCCCTACCAAACTCTAAAAGCAAGCATAGTAAATCATTCCCAAGTAAGCCATTCTTGTGCTAAAATAAGAGTGGACACTGTCAAGGGAAAAAGGGTTATTATAAGCCCAAACTGTTAAATTATAATTTCATGACTGAACACAACTGTAATCCATATTATTATTTTAAATTACACTATAAAAAGCAGTCATTTATTGCCTTTCCAAAACATAGTGATAATATATTACCAAATTATCAAGAGTCCTTTATTAAAGCTCTTGAATTTGATTTATAATGCATGATGTAGCTTATCCTTGAGAAAGATCTACTAAAAGGTACACTTAGTCTTAAAGCTAGTGAAATAAAATCTCCCTCTAATCAGCCACCAGAAAGCTTCCGCTTCAATGCTTTGTTGATACTGGTGTCAGCAGGACATTAAAAGCTTGAAGCTTTTTATGTTTGATCAAATACCAACATTATGCTGAAGCAGAAGTATTAATTCACAGAGTGAAGCTTCCAAAACCTCTACAATTCTCCTTCATCTTTCCAACCCCCATCAAAAAGGTCACATCAGATCAGGGGGTTTGGGGACAAAAAAGAAATGGAAATTTTTGTGGATGTTTGGTATACACAAAACCACTCTAGAACCCAAGAGAAAAACAAGCACTAAAATACACTTTTCTGAAAATGCCAATCATCTCTAAGAAAGAGGAAAGCAACTGGCACTGGGAAACAAGATGGTGACATGGTTATTATTTTCAAATCAGAATGAGAAATGAAGTACCAGAAAGGGTCAGGAATTTGCCCCAAACTTTCCACTAGTGTTTGGAGCATCTGGGATCACTGTCAATCAGATCGTAACATTACAGTCCCTTCCTGAATAAAATCTCTCTCAAAAAAGAAATAGGAAGCCTCAGAGGTTAAAGAAAGAAATTATTTTTTCCCCACAACTTTAATTTTTTTTCATCACTTTGATCCTGGGACTTCCAAAAGAAAGTTTTTATTATGCTGCCAGATTCACAAAATACACTCAGGGGAACAATTTGAGTTTTAAGTGTGTCTTAGAAACCTGCAGAAAAGTGTCAACAATAAAAACAATGTTCTCAGAAGATTATTTACACAGAAGAGCCCAAGACTCACTGACATCTATGAAGTTGCTATAAATGTTAATCTCAATAACTTCTAATGGTTCTCTCTCCTTCTTAAATACACATATATCCCAAAATGTAGAATTAATGTTTCCACCATAGTAATTTGGACACTGGGCAACATGTAAGATGCCTATCATCACTATTACATTACTAAGGCATTCTAACAGAATATTGGAAATGGGGGGGGACAGAATGATTAGGAAAATAAGAGTTGGCACCATTATTTCTAGCAGGTGTACAGGTAAGCTGGGAAGATTAATTGCTGACATGGAAGTACATATGTGCATTGGGGAAAAGGAGGGAGGTCCGAGAAATACCCTTTGGTTTGTTTGAAAATAAAATTTCAGAGAGTTGAATAAACAGATGTTGTCTATCTACCTCTTGGTGCCCAAGTCCTTACTGCCCTAAATCTACCGGACAATGTTAGGCATCACAGAAGTGATATACATCAGACTCAATAAGAAATGGAATTTACCATGATATTATAACAATATCATTCTTAATGAAATATTGGATCTAACTGAATTGTTCATATTAGGATCCTGGGGCAGATTTTTCCTATGATCAAAAGAGCAATACAGCCCCAAAATCATACCTGGTATTTTGTTTTGCCATCCTCCTCCCCAAGTCAAAGAAAAAGGTTTTCTAAACTGGTGGTTTTCCTTGTCAGTAGATGCAAGGCTTGAAATTTGGTGCCTAAAACATTCAGCAATGAGTAGCTTCTCTTAGCCTAAAGATTCTGGCACAAAGTTCATTTTGATGGAGTTTTGGAGACTAGTGTAGTTGATAGTTGACATATATTTTGGCCACGTATCATCTCTGAACACCTTTCCTGACAGGCTCGCTCCCTAGGCTCCCTTGCAGCTCAGGAGCAGACAGATACAGTAGATTCAGTTGTTGGCATTTAAGATATGGATCTATAACAACAATTAAATTAGCATTATCTTAAAGAGGCTGGACCATCCTTACCTATAGCAGGTAACATATGGGACATTCTCTTCTTCCCATAGATCTGTCCATGTAAAATCCAGTTACACTAAGAAGTGAGGGTAACCATGGAGTAGAAAAGAAAAGGAGATGATACAAGGAGCACATTTAATTCTGTCAGAATAAATTGATTGAGTCACTGTATTCAACCAAAATAATGATGAGCCTCATAATGATGAGGAGGCAAAATGACTACTTTAAAGATGATGGAATATTGTAAATGAATAATATACAGCTCTCGCCCTGGTATCTTGCCCTACGATTTAGTGAAAAAACATGCTTCTCTCTAGGGCCTTGTTACTCCAAGAGTGGCCCAGGAGCTTCCAACATCAAGGAGGAACTTGTAAGAAATATCAAATCCTAGGGGCGCCTGGGTGGCTCAGTGGGTTAAGCTTCTGCCTTCAGCTCAGGTCATGATCCCAGGGTCCTGGAATCGAGCCCCGCATCAGGCTCTCTGCTCATCAGGGAGTCTGCTTCCCTTCCTCTCTCTCTGCCTGCCTCTCTGCCTACTTGTGATCTCTATCTGTCAAGTAAATAAAGAAAATCTAAAAGAAAAGAAAAAAGAAAGAAAAGAAAAGAAATATCAAATCCTAGACTTAATGAATCAGAATCTGCATTCTAACAAGATGCCCAGGTGACTCATATGCATATTAAAGGTTGAGAAGCACTTCATATGGGCACCAGGAGGAGGACTTCCTGGAGGAGATGGCATTTGATTTGGTACTTAAGTTGGTGCTTGGATTGAGCTACAGAGAAAGACACCTGATGTAAAGAAAACATAAGGCTTCAAGGTGGGAAAATGACGACGGGTCATTAAATGTTAAAAAAAAAAAAAAACCACTTATAGTATAAATAAGGGGAATTAGGTTAGGATCAGATTGTGGGTGGCTTGAGAGTCAGGTTCTAGAATTTTCACTTTAGCCTGGAAGCACCGAAGGTGCATGAAGAGGCAGGAGAAACGGTGGTATAACCAGAACTATGTTTTAGGAAATTTAATCTGATAATATGTGTCAAGTTGATTCAGGAGAACAACTAGAGGAGCTTAGTAGGGAGCATAGGTCAACTGTTCAGGCAAAAGTTAAAGAAAGTAGCAGGGAAAGGAAGAATATGAGGTACTGGTCCTGAAAAAAATTAAAAGAACTTGGTACTATTTGTTTGGGGATGTGAGGGATGGCATAGATAGAAAAATCCAGTTTGTGTGTTGAGCAAGAAAGAAAAATTTGGAGGAGAAATGGATTTAGAAGCAACATAAAAGCTGGTGAGTCTGCTGTTCATTTTTATGCATTTTAAGGATATGCGAGGGTGTGCATTTGGAAGCACGCCCTTATATCAATGCTGAGGAGAGAAGTAGAATCTGGAAAAAGATTTAGGAGAAATTGGCATAAAAGTGTTAACTGACACCCAGGCCAATAGTGTGGATGGTGAAAAAAGACAGACACAGAAAGAGACAGGAAGAATACCTTCACTTAGGTAGTGGGAGGAAGAAAAGGAAATATACTAGCCAGGGATCTTGAGAGCAAACCGCACAAACCAACTAACTCTTACCCAAGCAGAAAAAAAGTTTACTGATGGTATATGGGCTTGCTCTCAGAAAGCAGGTAAGGGAGAAGCAGGCTCAGAAAACAAGAAGGGACCACATGAGACCAGCAGCTGTTAGCCAGGACAAGCTCCCACAGGCCATAGGAGTAAGTGATGAGAACATCAACACAGTGCTGGCTGCAGGACGTGTCCAGCAGTGCTGAGGCTGCACCATTGCTCTAGGTAGGAGACGTTTCATGCTACTTCCAGCTGCAGAAATATAATATCTGACTGTTCTGGACAGGAGCCTCTGACTGGCAGGGCATGGGCCATGAGCCAGCACACTAGCAGCTGGGTCAGGGGAGGGAGGAAGAGGAGAGTTAGAGCTCCACCGACCTGTGGGTTCTGCCTGCCTCCACACCCCTGCCACAGTGATTTCCCCGAACAGACAGTGCTCAGGATGCTAAGCACCCCCAAACTGACAAATGTTCACTAGAGCAACCAGGGAGGAAAGGCAGCAGAGCAATCAGGAGTGCAGTCTCAAAGGACAAGAGAGAGCAGTGGTCACGTGGTCAACGGTGGCAAACAACCAGGGATGCCAAAGAGGATGCGGGCAAACAGTTCCCAGCTCAGGCACCTTTAAGAGGAAACAAGCCAGACTTTAAGAAGAGAGAGACAAGAGTGAAGTGACAACATGGAAGCTACATATAAACTATTCTTTTTTTTTTTTTTTAAGTGTAGAGCTGGAAGGCAAGATAACCAAGAAAGGCTATTATAAAACAGGGAGTATTTGAGCATATTTCACTGGGCAGAAATCTGAAAAGAGGGTGATGGAAAATTCTAGAGAAATTAAAGGAGTGAAATAAGATGTTAGAGGATGTGGGAGGGCCTGGCATCAAACACAAACAGGTGGTGGCAGAGGGAGGTAGCTAGAAGAGAAAATGGAAATGGGGACAAGCAACTCTTGGTGTGGTTTCTTTACCACAAGTTCACATTTATGATGTGCCTATCATAAGTGAGTATTATGCTGGGAACTGTGGACACACAATATTGGTAAGGCAAGTGATGATTCTCAAGGAGCTGATGAGCTAGTCACATTAAATGCCCGCTAATGTTCATTCAGCCTTAAATATATGCTGTAACTTTAATATTTTCAACTGAAAATATCAATAAAAACAAGTTAGAATTTTAAAAGGCCAAACAAGATACAAATTGTTGTAGGAAGTCAGGGCAGGAAGCAGTCACTTCCAGCTGGGAAGGTTTCAAGGAGGAAGCAGGCCATTAAAGGATAATTACACATAGCAGGGACAATGAACATTTGGAGGGTATACCAGATAAAACAGAAGATCTAAACTATAGCACACACAAAAGATTGGATGTTAGAGTAGATATTTATCAATTATGAGGCTTCGCAGCTTTTGAATCTCTTATTTGAGGTTATTCCATCTTATGAGACAGAGCTGTCACTCTATTAGCTGGAAGTCCAGATTCTCGCTTTCCCTGACACCTTTATATCTAGGACAGAGGGGCATGGATTCAACAGGTAGGCAAACCTGCCTCTGAGTTTTGCAGTGGCCATCACTGCACTGGTCTCTGTGGCATAATTTTATGTTTCCCCTAGACTGTCTAGATTCATTCCTAAAGCCTGGTTCTCCCATCCTCCTAGTAATTCCACAAACTCTTTGAAATCTTTTCAACATATTCTCTTTTTAATTTAACTATATAGTCTTTATGTTGCTTGCATCTAAGAATCCCAGTAAACAGATATGATAGTCCTAACAAATATTGATATGATCATGGAAAAGTTCATAATCTAGCTTACATGAAGAATTGGGCAGGGGGTTGCATACTAGCTGAGTTTATGTCAGGAAAACAGAAAGCTCTCTAGACACAAGTAAAAGGGTATTTTATTTTTTTAAAGAAACAGAAGATTATACAATCTCTGAAGGTCCAGGAGAGCAAAGGAGAGAAAAGACACTGCTAGAATCCCTGAAATTTAGAAATGCATGCGTTGTATTGAAAGGTGTACTGAAGTTCTCAGCCCTCTGCAGCACCCAAGAAGGTGGTTCTCAGGAGGATACTTGGAAATCCTGGCACAGCTGCTGAGATGTCTGCCATCTGCAGATTCTCAGGTACTTGTCTGGAGCTGCAGTTGAAGAAAAATGGTTTCACCTCTTCTACTTTGCAAATCTCAACCTAGTGCCTCTCAGAGGAGGGTTTTGAACTTAAACTCTACAAGGAGACTGAGAAATGTAATTTTCAAATTTCCAGTCCTGCCATAAAAGGAGAGCATTTAGAAGGATGGTCACTGGAAGGATGGGAGATAAGTGTCCCACTGTGAGGGTTCAAAGCCAGGTTCCAACTCTCTTCTCTCTTTGAGCTTCAGCACTCTGCTATGGCACTATATCTGCAGAGCCAGTAACCTCATTGAGATTTCCAGGACTCAGATATCTCAATTTTCTCGTCTATCAGCTCCCTCTTCATTCTTGGAATCTTTGACTCCCTTGCCTCCTTGTCTTCCAACCACTGTCTCTCTATAAGTCAGTGGACTAAGAGAGTGGACATAGCAAGTCAGTGAAAACTCCAAAACTGTACCAGCTCCCCACAGCTACTGCTTAAAGCTTTGTAATAGCCTTATCAGGTCTGACCGCTACTTTTTTTTTCTCCACCCTCCAAACACTCTAAGCAATGACCTTGTCTCCTGTTCAGCAGAGAAAATAAATTTTGTGAACTCGGAATCTCCCATGCCTCTTCTTCCTCCTCCCCACACAAAACCTGCATACTTCTTTGCACTTGACTCCAGTTCTTACCACTTTTCTTCCCTTAATAGGAGGTGGCAACCTTCTGCTGCTCAAGGCTGAACTTCCCTCCCGTACTCCAGATCCTTAGGGATTTTGTTATCCTTATTATCTCTCTTGACTAATTGCTTCAAATTTTCTTTCCTGCCTCATTCCCTGCACCTTATAAAAATGCTCAATTCTTGCCCTATACTTGGCCATTTATTTCCCTTTCTTTCTGTTCTTATTCATAGGCAAGATAACTAGATACCTGGAAGAGTAGTTGTCTGCACTTGGTCTCTATCTCCACTAACTAACCTCATGCCAGAAGACATGATAGCATATTAAAGAGCTTAGCTTTTAAAATGCTCAACATGGATTCACATTTTGCTAGGACTACATACTTAACTATGTGACCTACTACATGTCACTTAGATTCTGCAAGTCTCTGATTATTTTTTTAAATTAGAAATAATCATAACTTCTCAGGTTTATATGAGAAGTGCTTAAATAGCATAGTGTCTGGCATACAGTGAGTGTGCTTTAAATGCTCCTTGAACCACTGTGATCTGGCTGTCCCTCTTCCACTGTTGATACTGCCCTGACCAAAGCCTCCAGTGACCTGGTTGTTAAACGTGATGAACATTCTTCTATTTTTTAAGATAATATTTTACTTGATCAGTTTAAGATGTTCCACACAACTGACCCTTACCTTTTAATTTAAAGCCAATCTCCAAACTAGGGTATACAGGATGATTGATGTAGGTGATAGAAGAGAACATTACAACTTCTATTGTTTATAAAGTACATTATATTTCCTTCCATGAACCATAGGCATAGAAAGAAAAACACTGCCAGATAAATATGACACAGGTTCCTTGTCATTTAAAAGTTCAAAAACATTTAAAAAGTTCAAAAAAAAAGTTTAAAAAGTTTAAAAGTTCAGTTAATATGTATTACAAGAACACTTTTAGATTTACTTAAACATTTATTTAAACTTACAAATAATGGCAATATGATTGGTTTGGACTAAGTTCATGTAAGTGTGGACAGTGATTTCAGCTCTCTGATGAACAGACATTAAAATGGGGAAAATATGAATTTTATGTGGTACCTATCTATAGATATACAGATACACACACACACACATACACACAATGGAATATTATTCAGCCATTAAAAAAGAATGAAATCTTGCCATTTGATTGCATAGATAATATAATGCTAAGTGAAATAATTAAGTCAGAGAAAGACAAATTACTATGATTTCACTCATGTAGAATTTAAGAAACAAAACAAATGAGCAAAGGGAAAAGAGAGAGAGAAATCATGAAACAGACTCTTAATTATCAAGAACAAACCAAAGGTTACCAGGGGGGAGGTAGGTGAGGGTGGGGATGGATTAAATAGATTATGGGGATTAAGGAGTGCACTTGTCATTGATGAGCACTGGATGATGTATGGAATTATTGAATCACTATATTGACACATGAAATAATATAACACTGTATATTAACTAAATAGAATTAAAATAGAATTAAATAGAATTAGATATATAAATTTTTTTGGACTTTTTAAAAAATGCTTTTTGTCTTGTTATTATTTTTGTATTTTTTTGGCATATGAAAATTGTGACAATAGTAAATTTTCATATGCCAAAAAACACAATAATAATAATAATAATAACAACAACAACAACAACTTTGGAATGCCTGGGTGGTCCAGTCAGTTAAGGGTCCAACTCTTTGTTTCAGCTCAGGTCTTTATCTTAGGGTCTATCTATTAGTAGATATTAAGTAGATGGAAATGTTATATGCATATAATCCATAAGTAAATATACATGGGGATTGTTCAAAAAATTACTAATTGAATACATGCTTTAAAAAGTTTGGAAACCATTGATTTAAACCATCTTTCTATAAGTAATATTCTTTCATTGTGTCCCTCTTCTACCTTTTCTTCTTGACTGTCTTCATGCCTCCTCTCTCTCCCTCTCCTCCTGTTCTTGTCCTTCCATGTTAGTATTCCTTAGAATTCTTCATTGTTCAGTCATTCATATAACTTAATATACTCCCTGTACACTGATGACTCTCAAATCTCTGTCACCAACATAGATAGATCCCTCTTGAGCTCTAGATTTAAGGGATTAGTAATTTTTTCCATATCCATACCATGGATTTCTCAAATCCATCAAATCTAAAACAGAGTCTGTTTTCTCCTTAAATCTTCCCCCCTCCTCCTGCCATCCTTATCACAGCAAATGGCACCATCATTTGCCAGTCACCCACTTCAGAAGCCTGGAATTTATTCTTTCAACTCCTGCTTTCCACTTCCAAATAGCTCTAAAATATGTCACCTGCTCTCTTTCACCATTGTTATTACTCTAATTTAGGCCTTGGCTGCAACAGAAAATATGTTACATTGAAAGCCAATAGTTCCACCTACAATGTAAAATTAAAATGAAAAATAATTTGCATCATTAGTTTATCATGCTAGAGTTACTAAGATCATCAAAATGGTCCAAAACAAAGACATCTGCTGTTAGAGGGTATGTGCCAGGACTCAACACAATATTGTTTTAAGCCAATAATTATCTGGGATGTGGAACTGATTTTTTTTATCCCATAATTTGGTGTGTAGTGACTTAAGTATCTGGCTGTTAGAGAAAATCCCATTACCATTTGGCAAACAATTTCCGACTGGATTGATTAGCCATGAAATGAATGCAAGTGATATGCACAGCTCAAATATGCACTTAATAGTTTAAATATGAGATGACATTGACAGCTTTCCAAATAGTACTAATATTCTATTAGAGTAATTCACTAACATATATCAATATAATCCTTACATATTACCATCACTATCCCATTTTTATCTTTATACCTCCAGAATTTCACATTTTTACCTTGACTATATCCCTAAATTATTCATTCTGAGACTTTCCAGGGTTGAGGAGCTACAGCAAATACTAGTTAACCCATAATGACCATTGCTGCTTTATCGCTGATTTATTCTTCTCTTCCAATATTTACAATTCAAATGGAGATGAATTTGGATGGAAATTACAAAACCCTACACTACAGTATACAATTTGAAGAGGAATGCAAAGAATCTCAATACATGGACTGACAGGCATTAAAATGAGAAGTTTCTTTAGAACAATTGGGAGGGCCTAACTGTCCCATAAATAACAATGATATCTCTAACCCTTTCAATAGCAGCTTATTATATTCTGTCTCCCTGTATGAGCTGCCTTATCTCTTATCTCCTCTCCATTCCCATCATTACTGTCCTCATTAACACTCTCCTGTTTCTTGCGTGGACTTTCCTAACAGATCGTTTAGTCTTACCAACTTGGAATTTGTCCACAGCTGCCAGAGTCATCTTGTCATCTCTTCAAAATGTAAATCTGATTATATCTTTTTTGATGTTGTTTTTGGTCAAACCCTTTCAGTGGTCTTCATTGTGCAGACAATAAAGTCTAGGCTCCTGAATGTTACACAGAGAAACTTTTTCTGACATAGCTCCACCTTACCATCCGTTATCATCTTCTGCAGACAGAATTTGCTCCACTCCTGGGTATCCACTCCAGTTCCCAAATGTACTGTACTGTGTCTCACTACTAGAAGGCCCTCCACTCACTCTCACTTGACAGCCTCTATCAGAGCGCAATATCAAATGTTACTCCATGGCCTCCTAACTCTGGAAAATCTTCATTACCTACTCATGCAAAATTAACTGTTCACTCTTTTAAGCTAATACCTTGGCATTAACATGTCTCTATTTTGCACTAAATCCTACCAAATCATAAATGCTTCTTCACATGTCTCATTTCCCATTAGGCTTGGAGCTCCTTGGAAAGAAGGACCATATCTTGTCCATTTTTTATATCTCCAATAGTGACTTTAGTACACAACAATTTTAATAATAAATTTCAGCTATTACACACTAGAACTACTCCAGGTGCTAATCTAAATGTCTCCTTCATTTAATTCTCACTATACCTTAGTGTAGTAGGTACTATTAAAGCCCTAAGAAAAGTAAGGCACAAAGTAGGTGCTTAATAAATGTTATTTAATGAATATTATTGCCTTTTAAAAAAATGAATGTAGTCATGTCATCCTTACTCCCAAGAGTTCCCAGATATTGTTGCAATTGGAAGTTGATGCCTTGGGTAAAGTATATGCAATGGCATGAGTTCAGCTATTTGGTTTAGGGAGACATGAATACCTGCCATTCTGAATTCCACTCCACATATACAGAACTTCAAGATGAACTGCTTTGTTTTAGTTTTTATTTTTGTTTCCACAGATTATACTAGCTTTGTAAATCATTTTCCCCTTCCCTGATCTCATTTATACCTAACCATTATCTACAGAAACAGTACTACTATTACTCTTATGTTTCCTTAAAATGTCAGACACAGAAATAAAGTTGCCAAGCCTGGGAGCGACCTCAATACTACTAAGTGGGCAGTTCTTGTGCTAATTTAGTATTTATCTGGGTTAAGTTCTCTCTCTAGCAAGTCACACTACTGAGACAGATTTGAGAGGTATCTCAGATTGTAAGAAATAGTTGTTCTGTTAGAAGTACAGTTTTGCAGTTCTTTAGCTATAACACTGCCCATGAGCATATGAATGTGGATAGACTATTAACTGATATGGGTTATTTCCAGAAAACATTTTCATTTTAACAACTCCAATCAATGTGCTGACCTCAAATGCATAAGAAATGGGGGAATTTGGGACTGGGTGTGAGAGACAGAGGTATTTGTAGTCCAAGGATTAATGCCAAATCACAGTTTATAACAACTACCTGCTGCCCACCATGAAGCCGGTGAGGTAGAGAAATGTTACAAACACATCTTTAATTTCTAGACTAATTCATCAGAGAAACCAACAACTCATACTGAAAATCATAGAAGGATGAGTTCAGTAATAATCTAGTTAGTCATCCCAAGTGAAATCCACACCTCACCCAATATGGATAAGTGAGGAAAAGAGAGAAAAGAGGAAGCAGAATAATAAGGTAGTTGAACCCAAGAATCTGGCCATCTGTTTCTTTGGAGGGAGTCATGTCTGTTATCTTTCTTTTATATTTAAGTTATTCTGTCATTAGAAAGAGCAATGATAGAATAAGGAAATACCTACTTCCTGAGGGAAATGAGAGTAAAGCTGAGTGAAACCAGAGCACATGCCCCCCCACAAAGAGCATGAATTCTGTAAACTTGTCTCTATTCTTTTCAGTTCTCCTGCTTCTTGCTCCTGGATCCTGCTGCCTGTTCAATTGTTACTGACTCCATATATGTCATATACATATCCCTAAGACAGAGGATCAAATTAGCTCCATGAATCACAATAGTCCCTGTCTAGCAAACTCTCACACCAGGCCTGTAGGCCCATTGATAGTGCTCTGTGCAGATCCCCTTTAATGGCTGTGCTATGTTAGTATACTTCGTTCCTGGGGTGCTTTCAACAACTCTCAACAACCAACACCTGTATCTCATTGTCAAAGAGCTGTATTCAGGCTGCATGAGGACAATTTTTTCTGCATGCATAGAGAACAGACGGTGCCTCGAAATTTATATACCTCAGCCCTTAACTAATGATAGATGAGTATGGGAGTATAAATACCTCAGCTCCCACACCCCGATGGGTTTGTCTGTGCTGTGATCACTTCTCTCCAATCTGCTCTGCAGAATTTCAACAGTTATCTTCTGTGGGGTTTTGCTTGATATCCATCCTCTCTGTCTTACTTTCCTTCCCTGTCCCATGTGCCCACTACTCTACTTTTTCCTGAGAACATTTCATATCTCAAGAGTCCTGTGACAGTAAACAAATTTTAGATTTATTTGCAGATTTTCACCAGGGCACATTCAGACGAATCATCCTAAGACCTGTTTCTGAGGAACCCAACTCAGAAAATGCTATTACATACTCTGCTAAGCCACCTCAAGACTGGCTGTCTTTGAGGAAGGAGTTCATCTTTGATCTAATCAGCTATGATCAGAGTTACAGGATCATGTGGAACAGAAGATCATAACCTGTGTATGCCCTTTAACAGGGGCTTTGGCCATGGCCATGGCCACCTCTCTGAGGGTGAGAAGTAGAAGCTTAGGCCAGAGTACACTCATATTCATCTGAGTTATGCCTATTAGGCATAAATACGGCAAAGGGATAACAAGTGAAAGCAAAAGTTGCAAACTCTATGTTAAATCGGAGAACTTAAAGTGCTCTATGTACCCAGTGTGGAAATGATGTGCCATTTGCAATCATAAAGCAGCATCTAAAATATGAAAAGCAAAGATATAAGATACAAACCTAGCAGGACAGTATCAATAGGGAAAAGACACCTACAGATACACACGTATGTTGCTCACACATGTGCACACACACAAAGGCTCCAGAAATCAACCCTTTCCACTGAGAGCAATGTGAAGTTGAACTACATTTAAGAACCTTAACAGTGTTTCCTTGGTTTTCTATTAACTCACAGGGGAAGTCTAACCACCTATGGGGCAGAGACCAATTACAGCTATTTACAAAGTAGGAAGTATACACCTTTATTTATGGTTGTATTATGTTTTTTAATTTTTGAATTGTTAGGTGTCTATCTTTCATTCTGTAAATTGCATATAGCAACCTGGTAGGTGATTTACAGACTATATTGTTTTACTGTAAGAATAATAAAATACTTAAAAATCCCTTTGACTCAATAACTATTTAACTTACACATAGACATCACAATATAATAGGAACACCATAAAACAGCCATACAATGAATGAAATCACAAAACATACAAGGCACCTTTGAAGGAACTGGAAATAGAAGTAGCCATAAATATTCTACCCAAACTTTTTGGTGGTGACCTCACAAAACATAGTGGTCCACTCTACCCACAAAAAGGAAGGGAAAAAAACCAGTGTCCTTTACTAACCAAATGAAGGTTTTAGTTTTTATTCTTGAATTATCATCCATAATTTCCTGACAGGCTTCTTTTCTTTGCATTGAAAGGAATTGTACCAGAGAATAAGGAATAAAAACCATTAAGACTTGGTGTCTGCTCCAATGGGGATGATAAGTCTGAACATAATTATAATACAAAGGAAAACCTATCAAGCATTCTCATTCTAGCCGGTGGAATCAGGTTTGGCTTTAAGGAAGAGGCCTCTTTGAACTAGATTTCAGAGAACAATACGATTTCCAAAAGGCAGGGAAGAGGAAACTACAAGGACTTATTCCTGTGTCTGCGGTTTTTCACTACACAGGTTAAAGTAACCCCTGCAAGTCTTAGCTCTTTCTCTTGTCTTTAAGAAGAGAAACAGAAAGCCCAATTGAGTCTTTTTCTTACATAGTAAACTGGCAAAGCAACTTTGGACAATAGTACAGCGTTATCTGTTAAAAGTCCAATATATACATACCCTGTGACCAAGCAATTCTACTCCTTGGAACATACTCAAAACGAATGCATGCATTTGTACATCAAAATATATGCACAATGATCAAAGTGCCTTATTTATATTTGTCAAAAACTGGAATCATCAAATGGATAAACAAATTTCAGTATGTTCATACAATGAGATATATATAACAACAAAAATGAAAAGAAACACAGCTACACACAATGTGAATAAATCTTACAAGTACAGTGTTGAGCAAAAGAAATCAGATACAAAAAAATACAAAGATCATGAATCCACCTATATGTAGTTCAAAAACAGGCAACCCTAAGGGGTCTATTTGTAAGAGATCCAATTATAAAGTAAAGTAAGGACATTATAACCATAAAAGTATAAATAGTGACTGACTCTAGAGAGGATCAAGGGATATGTGATAAAAAAAAAAAAAAAAAAAGGACACAGACACTGTCTGTGGAAAGGTTACATATTTTTGGCCTAGGTGGTGGTTACATAGATATTCCCTTTGTAATTTATTATACTACACATTTATGCTTTACATATTTTTTCATATATGTTGTATTTCAAAATAAAAAAAAATAAAAGAGCATTTCTACCATCAGCAGTAAGTATCTTGCTTAAGAACCCAGCTGGCAAGAGGTGGGGTGAGGACTCAAATCCACATGTCTGGTTTCAAAACTCATGATGGAAATGAGGACCAACCTATCAAGAAAGAGTAGTCCTAGCACCCAGTTGTGGGTCTCTACCATTTCCTACTAAAAGGAAACAAACATCTTTAGAGAAGTGGCTGATTCCAGGTCTGGGACAAGAAACATACAGGTTGAGACTGAGACATCTTGTTATTTTAGATCATAAGGAAACCATGAAAGATTCTTATGGATGTCTCCCCCAGCCAAAGTGGAGCATCAATAAATATAATAAATGAAACTGCACATTGAAAGATCGGAAGATATCAAATAAAATAAATGATAATTAAAAAAATAAAATCTCATTGGTTGCCTTTAGAAACTGCTATGAATGAACCACTTCCTTATACTTTCAAAACTGATCAATAAAGGGAAGAATTGAGTTTCCTTTATGATCTATACCTCTGGGTAACCAACCTGTTGATAAGGGAAAGTTATTTTTTATAGAAGCATCCAGCTAATAAATGAAGAAAAAATGTTAGAATATAATATCTGTTTCCTAACTCTTAATGATCCCAGTAATGATCATCAATGGCTGATAATACCACCAAACAATGAAAAAAAAATATCACATTATGGGTCTCCTGACAGGAGAGCACAGCCCATATGAAATAGCACTGTCAAGAATATATTGAATCTGAGTCTCATAAAGCCTACTCCTAATGTATAAGAGTTATGAGGGATAATGGAACATGTTA